AAGTGTATGAGCTGTGTGTGGTGGTGCACACCTGTAATCCCAGTGGCTTGGTAGGCTGAGGCAGGAGGATTGGGAGTCCAAAGCCAGTCTCAGCAACTTAGCCAGGCCTTAAGCAACTCAGTGAGACCCAGTCTCTAAATACAATACAAAAAAGGGGCTGGGGATGTGGCTCAGTGGCTAATTGCACCTGGGTTCAATTCTTGATTTTAAAAAAAGGAAGTGCATAAATATTAAGATGGATTTATCTCTTTGGAGCACATTTTGTACTTTTATGACCTTAATGAAAGTTGTTTTGGTAAGAGGAGGCAGCATCCAGAATGAAGTGGGGTGAAATGGGTGGGAAATAATGAAGCTCAGTACAGACAATTCTTTCTAGATATGAGAAGTTTGATTGCGAAGGTGAAGACAAAAGACAGTAGCAGCTGGAGGGAAATTCATAGCAGGGGAAGTTTTAAATGTTTAAATGAAAGAGACTTGAGCATGTTTTAGAAAACAATGGGGAAGATCCAGTGGCAATGCAGGGCTTGAATATAAAAAAGAGATCATGTATGTTCCTGAGAAGGTGGGAGGTGTTGACATCTGCGGAAATAACACACATTTCAACTTAACTCTTTGATATAGCCTTTGTTCAAATATACTTTAAGATTATCTTAATAACATTTTCTTAATAACTTTAATTACCACTGATATACAAGTGACTCATGAAAGGAAGTTATTTAAAAAGGAACACTGAAAGGGAAGAAACTTGTTGAATTTAAGTATCTCAAAATAGCAAAGAACTATAGGGAGAGGGAATACATGCCTCTAATACCAGCTACTCTGGAGGCCAAGGAGGATCTCAAGTTTGAGGCCATCCTGAGCAATTTGGTGAGACCCTGTATCAAAATAAAAAATAAAAGGGGGCTAAGGATATAACTCATTATATCCCTACTTGCCTAGCATGTGTGAGCCCCAGGGTTCAATCCCCAGTAACCCTCTCTGCGCACTCCCAGGCACATACATGCACACAAAGCAAAGTGCTATTACTCTTCTCATTAAGATAAAGAAAAGAGGTTAGAGAAAATCCCAGTGACCTTTAAATTGCACAAGAACAAAGAACTCTCTTAGGAACTAGTTGGGGCAAAGTTCTTACTCAAGTATAAACCCTTGCAGGTTGTTTCTTAGTATCATAAATTATAGTTTCTTCGATAATACAAGAAACTTCCCCAGACACTCAATTTTAACTTCAAAATTATTGCTAAGCATTCCAGACATAATCTTTAGTGGTAAAGCATATGATGAACACAGTCTGTAACATGTTTGTTAGAGAAAATTACACTTAATGTGCAAGTTAGGAAGTCAACAGAATTTAGGGTATTGGAAGTGAAATGTAATGGTTCAGGATAGGTATAGAATAGGGTAGGGTAATGAAATGATAGTCCATGAACTCTAAATTGGAGAGGGAGGTATTAAAAAAAGAAAGCTTATTTGATTAGAGATCCTGATGAGGCTGAAACATAGTTTTAGTGGGCATCTTTGAATAAACAAGTTAGAAGAAAAGGAGGTTGTGGCCAAAGAGTAGGATGCTTGATTTTAAAGGTGATGACAAAGCCCAAAGGGTGATCACAGAAATAATGTGAATAAAATGGAGATGAGGGATTCAAGAAATTAAAAGGCTAGAATGTTGTCTTTTTAAATTTTACCCAAGTAGAAATTGAAGGTCTTGTGATAGAGATGCATTAGGTGATAGTATTCAATAAATGAGGAAGAGTGACTTGGAGATCAGTCAAGGACAACTACAGGGAGAGAAGGTGGAGACTGAATAGCATGAACCTTTTTTTTTTTAATTTATTTTTTTGTTGTAGTTTGACACAATACCTTTATTTTATTTATTTTTATTTGGTGCTGGGGATCAAACCCAGGGCCTTGCACATACTAGGCAAGTGCTCTACCACTAAGCCACAACCCCAGCCCCAAAGGGTCCGTGTTTTAACAAGCATCTGGGTAGGTAATGTTTGGGAAGCAAAAAGGAGCAGGGAGTACATTGATAACATCTAACAGCAAGGTTAAATAGAAAATAACCCTGTTTTAGAGGGTTTATATTTTTTTCTCTGCCTGTTCAAAGTCTATGATTATTTAAATTCCATCTTTAAAACCCCCTTAACAAAAAAAAAGATTTTCAGATGTATTTTTTAATGAAAATCATTTATAGCAAATGTGATCTTTTATACATGACACTTCCAAGAAAATACACTGTTCCAAAAGATAACAACTCATTTGCTTGGCTTTTTCAAACCAGTGATGATATTTTTAATAAAACATGCCTATTTGAATTCATTTGTTAATTTTCAATCCATGTATGCCACCTAATTGTCCCACTTATGCTCCTTAAATTATATAATTTTGCCCAAGCAAGAGTTTCTCTACCTCTTCAACTCCTGTTAATCTTTCATATCTTAGAGAGCAGTCTCTCACAAAATCTTGCTAATTTCAAAATTATTTAGTAGTAATAATAAAGTAGAAATAATGTTTTTAAGAGTCCACTTCCTACAACTTAACAACTATACAATATTGTAATAAATATCTTAACCAGATTTTAAGCAACTTTAGGGACGAATCCATGCTTTATTCTGTTTTTCCCAGACCACACAGTATATGAACAAAAAACACTTACCAAGGAGATGCATGGCATGACGGGAAATACATGAATTTTGGAGTCAGACTCAAATTCAAGTTGTGTTCTCTCTCCCTCTTTCTCTTTTGTGATTAACTGCAAGTTACTTAACTTCTGAGCCTATATTCCTCTACAAAATGAGGATTTTAACTTACAGGACTGCTGTGGGGAGTGGCGTCAATTAAGTACCTAGTATAGTGCCTGGAAAGCACAGTGTATTCCATAAACTGGAATTATTATTTTATGTAAGTCTTCTTCCTACCTGATTCCTTTGCCTGAGTTCCTACATTTTGATGGAGAAGTGTTCTGCTGACTTCTTTTACCTAACTTAACAGTTTAGGCCTACTTCTAAGATTGAAGTTAAATGGAAAGTGTACTGCTAAGCAGGTCTCTTCTGACTTCTCCCATCTCTGAATAATCTTACTATTCATTTTGTACTTGTTATTTCAGTTTTCAAGGATTCATTTCTTATTCCCCTTACATAAGTCTTCAAATAAAGGAACAGCATGTTTTATGATCAAATCAACATATTTTCCTAATCAAAACATAAAAGACATATATGTGGTAAGTTAGGACAACTTCCTGAAAGTATAATTGTTCTGAAAAAATTGTTGAGTTACTCAATGATTGATTTCCCAATAATTCTTTGAACAGCTCTGTGTTCCCTTATTTACCATTCTGAACTTCCCCTAAAACATAGAAAATCAAATGTTTTATTAACATTGGTGACAAAACCTGTCCTGACCTGTTTGCCATTAAAACTTGACTTTACCTAGAGTCAAGGTGGCAAACTGGAAAAACCTGATCTGAAAAACCTGCTCTGAAATGAGACTACATGCTTCATTAATCCTACTTAGTGTGATATTTATAATTTCACCATCCCCATGTTACCTTGATTATGGGTTTCTTCTCCTAGGCCCTGTAGGATATCATGTAATATAAACTATAATTCTCTAAAGTCTGCAAAATTCTGAGTTCTAAAATTCATCTGGCAGAAAGATTTTGTATAGGGAATTGTAGATCTTCATCTCACTGCCATTACATACAACAGACTATTTTTTAAAAAATTCAGTTAAATAACATGAGGATATATTTTATCTTTCTGGGAGAAATATGGTATAAAAATTCAAGAGACCATTATTAAAAGGAATAGAGCAAGTTAAAATTCTAAAACAAAGAGCTTCCTGGGTAAAATAAGTTCTAAAAATTCTGGAAATTAAGAATAAAAAAATATAAAAATACCTACACAAAATACATTAATCATTTCAGTTTGTATTAAACATTTTTTCTGATTTCAATAACTGAACATCAGAAACAAATCAATCAGCAAATACTAAAGACCTGTGCTATAGAAACTAGTGTCATCTCAAATATTTGGAAGCAAAGATGCAAGTACTCGGAAGAGGATTTTTTTTTATGTTATTTATTAGGTGTTTCAAGATTTAATGTGAACTAATTTATTATATTTCTTTACTGATGATATTGCAAATTTTATCAGGATTTTTTATGGCAACACAGGAATATGAAGAATTCTAATAGAAAATACTTGTTTACGTGTAGTTAGGACTCAAACTGAAAGCCTGAAACAGGAAGGTAGGATATATAACAGTCAAAAGTGATTTTAGAAATTATAATTAAACAGAAACACAGGACAAAATTCATGCACACAAGATAATGTATGTATGTGTGTATATATATATATATATATGTGTGTGTGTGTGTATGTATGTATATATATGTATATATATGTATATATGTATATGTATGTGTATGTATATATATGTGTGTGTGTGTGTATATATATATATATATATATATATATATATATATATATATATGTTAACATTTCACAGAAATGTGGTGGAAAGAAACCACTGGCGGACTGACGGGGAATAGAATCAGGGTATGAGAATATAAAAGCTTAGCTTCCAAGAGAAACAGGTTTTTACAATGAAGAAACACATCGTGGTTCAAAAAAGCACAAGACAGCCAGGAGCTGGGAGAAAGCTTTGGTGTTCTCTGGCTATTTCCTTATCTATAAAACAGGCGACTTAGGTTTGTATGATACAGGCAGTGACAAGGTAGTGTCCTACAAGCCTATGGGCGACCCTTTCCACCTCGCTAGTAAGTTACTTTAAGTTTAAAAGGATCCTGTTTTGTTGCGAATAGGTCACTGACAGAAAGGCCAAGACCAAAGGAAGGAGAGTAGCAGCCGCAAGGGACAAAAGGTACTGAAGGGCCTGCTGAGGGTCCGGAGATACCAGGCCAAGGAGGCCGGGCGCAAGGAACCGGAGGTGGGGGGCGTTGCTGCAGGCTGGGCGGGCCAAGCTTGCATGGCGCCTGCGGCGGAAGGGGCTGCCCCGTGGGCGGAAGTGACGTGGCGCCGGCTTTCGGCTCTGAGGGGAACTGTAGCCGGTGGGTGGAAGGTGGAGGTGGTGGTGGCGGAAGAGGTTAGGCGGCTGATGGCGGCTCCGGATTGGAAACCAGTCTAACATTTCCCCCTCCGCCTGGGAACCCTTCCCTGGGTAAGGTGTCTTTCGGGCCCGCTCCGGGTCGTGCGGGGCGGATCCCCCCCCCCGGAGTCTTGTTGGGGCTCTAGTTACATTCCGCCCCCACCTCCCCGCCAAAGTCCCTAGAATCTAGGGGCCTGGCGGGTCTTGGAAATGGTCTCCGTGGAGACTAAGCTACCATATAACGATGTTTTCCTTCCCAAGGACGGTTCTTCCCACCCGGAAGGTGGTTGTGACGGGTGCGTGGGCGACTCGGGGCAGCCTTGGAGTTGGAAAGGCGAGTGGGGCCGCCTCACGAAGTGGGGAATCGGTGGGCTAGGCCTTTGCGGTTTTGGGTTGGCGACCGGGCAATTTGGCTGCGGGCTAGCGACGCGGGTGACCCCCTGGGGAGCGGAGACCCTTGTGTCCAAGACTCAACTCTAGGGTGGCTGTTTTGAGGGTAGTGTGTGTAGGTTAGACAGGGAAAACAAGTAGGCGGGCCCGGCAAGGACGCTTGAGTGTGCCTCTGCAGAGCAAATCCCAACTGTTTTGGTTTGAGTCGCCAGTGGAGGAGGAGGCGGAGACTCTTTGCGCCGCCTACATTTGAGGCCAGCGGGCGTGGTTAGCTGTTTTGGCCTGATTTCCTACTTCACCTGGGCTCCGGATTAATTTAGCTCTTAATCTGTTTGTAAAGGGCCCCCTCTTCTCGGTGCTTGAAGAGGTTTTTAAGAAGTCTTTTGAAGACAGTCACTTTTTTTTTTTCTTAGTCAACTTTTGTGTGTATCATAACTCTCCCTCCTTTGCCTTCCCTCCCCACCAGACACCCTGCAGGTCTTCAGGTGGTGGACAAGTCTTGACTGGCACTCCTTGCTCAGGAAATCTGTTAATTTACCTGGTGTTTATTTCTCTATTTCGCAACAGAGAAATATGTTATCCGTTGTTGATAACAGTTTTGTTCGGAAACGCTGTGACATTTGACTTTGTTCGTATATTAGATTTTAAGTTTTATAGGGTGGTTATGAATTATAAATCTAAATGTTAGATTTAGGTGGGCACATCTTAATCTTTCAGTTCTGGCAAAATTTATACGAATTGTGAATGAGCAATTACTAAATATAATTTTGGTGCTCAATTCCAAAGGCATTTAAAAATATCATTTGAATAACATTAATCTAAAGTGGGCTGATTGTCCTCAAAGTGCCCTTCAGGTATAGAAGAGGAACTAAGGCCAAACTCTTCCCTTTGTTCTTCTCTTCTTAAAGGTAAACTTAATTTCTTGAAGGATTATTTGATTAAACTTGGAATGATTTATGAAGCTAGATAATTATTATGATTTTTTTTTTGCAATCTGTTTAGCTTCAAGAACGACTTATTGTACTATTTGTTTTCTAGTCACCACATTCTTAAACTGCAGGCCTCTCTTTACAGTTAGGATTGCAGCCATGTGTATCACTCTGTAAAATTTGGACCTTATGCATTCTGGCTTTTTAAAGCTTATTTTGTCCTAAATAAACCTTTAGAAGAAAAAGTTTTAAAAGTAAACCTTTAAAAGTTTTCTTCCCCCTAATATTTAGGGGCCAAGGCCATAGCATTTTAGAAATCAACTTAGAAAAAGAAATTTAAAAGGTAAATAAGTAGTGTGGGTGATGTGGGCAATCTAAGCACTCAGTTGTAAAGGATTATGGAGATTGGAATGTTTGCAAGTGCCCAGATTAATACACTGGGGGCTTTGCTTTAGCCTTCCAGAAAACAGTATTTTCTGGAGTAGAGGTCTGTAATACAGCTCAGTGTTTGAGCTTAATTAGGAGTAATTGGAAACTTTGAATGCTAGATATTTTAACCATTTAGATGTTTTTGTGTCCTCCATCACTGAAGTTTGGAAGTAATTTCTAAAGGTTCACATTTTTTTAAAATGAAGATTTTGAAAACTTTTGCTAACTCTGCCTAACACTACTTGAGTTATGATACTTCTAAGTGTTCATATTAAAAAGTGCATAGTGTTTCTACTGCATTAAGTGACACATGGAGTTTTTACTACTGGTCTGTTGCTTACCCTCTTTTCTTTTTTCTTCAGTACTAGGGATTGAACCTAGGACTTTTCAAATGCTGGGCAAGTACTTTACCACTGAGCTACATTTTCAGCTAGTCTGCTTCTCTGTTTGCTTTGGTTTTACTAATTTTATTGTGGAAAATCTCAGACATGTACAAAAAGAATGAACAGTAAAATGGAACAGATTTTTTCAATCTTGTTCTGTTATATTCTTCATCACAATCCCCCCCCGAATTTTTAAAACAAATTCCAGAAATCAAGACATTTCTTCTATAATTAGTTGAGTATCTCTAACTGATAGGGACTTTGCTTCCCAGGTGTATCTGGTCTTTTAATTATTGACTGGAAAATTTTTACTTATTCTTCATTTGCTATTTTACTGTATTGTTTCTGGAGATGTATTTTAGAGTATAGGAAGCAGAATTTGATATTACGAATGTCATGTTTCCACTTTTGTGTGTAAATACTGTATTTCCTCTTTTCAACACCCCCCCCCCCCCAAAGCTACACTTCCCAGGCATTACCACAAGGTGATGCAGTGACTTTGCATATTGCTTCTCCACTGGGCCATGTGCATGCATGGCTTTGGTATTCTCAGTGAATTCCAGCACTTCTCTAAGCCTTTTCATCATTTCACTCTATTTCTTATCCGTGGAAGGAGTGAACCAGAGGAACTGTATGGGAATTACAAATTGTATTTTACTAATTTAAAATGAGTTGATTTGTGATGTAATTTTCAGGTTGTATCCATCCATGTTCACTTTTTTAAAATAACAAACCTATATTATAATTTAATAAAAATAAAAATGAATAACAAGGATAATGGAATGACTTATAATATATTTCTATAATTATAATAGCATTTAAATTTTAGAGTGTTGGAGAGAGATTGAAGGCTATTTAAAAAAATTTTTTTGTGGTTGTAGATGGACAGAATGCCTTTATTTATTTAAAAAAAATTTTTTTCATTTAGTTGTAGTTGGACATAATACCTCTATTTCATTTATTTATTTTTTATGTGGTGCTGAGGATCTAACCCAAGTCCCCGCAGGTGCAGTGGGAGCACTCTACCGCTGAACCACAACCCCAGCCCTGCCTTTGTTTATTTTTATGTGGTGCTAAGGATCGAACTCAGTGCCTCATACATGCTAGGCAGGTGCTCTGCCACAAGAGCTATTGCCCCAGCCCTAGATTGAAGGCTATTAATAGGGTGATTACAAATTTTCTTACTCTTCAGACATAAGCATCATGAATATATTTAAAGTGTAATGTGTTTTCTATTGAGTTTTGGGGAAGGATTTAAAAATGAGATTTTATGTTAATTTGGTCATTTAGAACAATAAAGTTCACTTATGTATATTTGTAGAATGCAAATGATAATTTTAAAAGTTAAAGTCCTCTTTCACACATCCCTCATGAGTACAGACTATATGGTATATATTTTTTTTAGTTCCTTTGGATCTGTTTACATTTACATATTTAAATACAGATGTCTATACCCACTTGCTATTTTATACCTAAAAAACAATGAAGTAAAAGTGTAAGGTTGGATTATGGATTTTAAAAAATGAGGTTAAACAAAAGTTTAAACACCTGCCTTAATTTATGAGTAGGTACAGCTGTGTTGGCTTAGTTTAGGATACTTAAATTTTAAGGAAGAGTTTCATCCTTAAATAGCTTTTAATTAAAAACAATGAAAGCTTATGGTGAGCTAGTTCATTTCCTCCTTAGTGAATATCTTCCTCAAATAGACCTAAATACTCACTTTCTTTATGGAAAAATATTACAGATTCGCTTAACTCAATTGTGGTTGTTATCTAATGGATGTTGGTTCAATTGATTTAGCTATAGTTTCTCTTGTTGGTATCTTATAACCAGTAGTATCTTTTTTATAACTGGTTGGAAACATGGATTTTTTTTTCTTTTTTGTGAAGCCATTGATTTGTAAAAAGATTATTAGTGGTTCAGGTCATTAGTATCATGACTTTCTGGGGAGCTCAGATTAGTTCAGACAACCCAAATAAAATAGTAGTGCTCTTCAGTTACTTATTATAGGCAGAGTTCCCCAATGTTTTTAAAGTTAACTTTCATTTTCTTGAAGACTTTAGGTTTCCAGGCAGAGCGTATTCACAGTTAAGTCCTGTGAAATACGGTTGTTGGTAGTAAAGTCCTTTTGTTAGTAAAGGATTGTTACTGAATGTATGCTTCACCTTGGAATCCTTGCAAACATCAAGTGGGGAGAGGCTATGGCAACTAGTCTGTTTTATCACAGTTGCTTCCTGGATCATGATTGACAGTCTTTGTATGAGATATCTGATATATTGTTTGATAAAGCAATACTAAGCAGAGGGGAAGCCAGAAGCGTCTGCTGTGCTTGCCTTATATGAATTTCATTGAGTTGTGAAGTAAGTTATATTTATTTGATTAATAAAAATCTTGGCTCTTTCCCCCCATTATTACAGGGATTCCTGTTTTAATAGCTCAGAAGCAAGTGCTATAAGGTCAATCATAATTTCCTATGTGTATGGTAGAATAAATAATAATACTGAGCCTGTGACATACTCTGTAGGTTGCTTGTTTTTTTTTTTTTTTTGCAGTACTGGGGATTGAATCCAGGGAGTTCTGTATGCTAGGTGGGTTCTCTACCACTAAGCTATATCCCCAGCCACCCTACTCCCTATCTTTAAAATAATTGTTTTTTGTTGTTATGAGACAGGGTTTTGGTAAATTGCCCAGGCTGACCTTGAATTTGGCATCCTTCTGCCTCAGTCTCTTGAGTCACTGGGATTATAGGCCTTGTGCTACAGTGCTTGGCTCATAAGTTGCTTTTAAAAGTAAATCCCCAATTGTTCCCTTTCTCTCAAAAGTAGAGCACAAAATAGGGAAAACATTTGGTTCTTACAATTTTTATAACCCACCATCACTGTTCCATTTGCTATCTAATGCTTGGTGTTCATCAAGTCAGTGAGCATTCATCAGTCTCTTAATAGATTTTTATCAGTATTTCATCAATAGTATACTTTTATTTTTAATATTTATTTTTAATTAGTAAATATATGGAAGGGCACCTGAATATTAGAAGTCAAGGTAGGATCATTGAACTCAGAATGAAAGGGTGAAATTCGTTTAGATAGAGAAGAACAAATAAGCTGAGCTATTTCAAGTAGAAAGCTGAGATCTTTATATCATATATAGAGATTTCGACAAACTTCTATCAGAACACAAGAAGGCTGGTTGAGTCTGGGATTTATGGAAATGAATGAGTGGTAGTGAAGACTTAAAATGGTTGAGTTGGGTCAGAGTCTTAAGTAGCTGTTCTCTATCTTGGCTGCATCTAGGGTTAAAATTACTTAGAGATGTAGGGGAGGGAGGAATTTTATGTATATAAACACATGCACACAGGTCCCACTCCCAGAAAGTCATCACCTTTTTTTTTTTTTCTCTCCAGGGCTACATTTCACTGAGCTACATCCTGGCCATTTTTATTTGGAGACAGGGTCTTACTAAATTGCTGAAGCTGGCCTCAAATTTGAGATCCTCCTGCCTCAGCTTCGTGACTTGCTGGGATTATAGGCATGCACCACTATTTTCTTTTATTATTTATTGTGGTATAGGAAATTGGACAAGCAGTGCTTTGCTGTTAAACTACACCCCCAGCCCTTTTAATTTTATAATTTTTTTTTTTTTTTTTGGTACTGGGAATTGAACCCAAAGTTTACCACTGAGCCACATCCACAACCTTCATTTTTTATTTTGAGAGAGGGCCTTGCTAAGTTGCTGAGGCTGTCCTGGAATTTTTGATTCTCCTGACTCAGAATCCTGAGTCTGTGGGATTGATTATAAGTGTGTGCCACCACACCTGGCTATTAATTTTGTAAAAATTTTTGAGACAGTCTCCATAAGTTTCAAGGCTTGCCTTGAACTTGTGATCATCTTGCTGTGATCATCTTGCCCAGTGTCTGTGATTACAGGGGCCCACCATCATGTCCAGCATCTGTTTTTCTTGTTAAAGGGTCCTGATGATTCTAATGTGAAACTAGGTTTGAGAAATGCTGATCCAAGGGATCAAAACATGGGGTAAGAATGCAGACACAGAGAGGTTTACCACCAGGTTCAGTTATAAGAGCCTAGAATCTAGAGAGGGGGGAGAGATGGAATGGGCTAGATTAGGGAGGAAGATGGTAAAGTCCAAGGATTCTATATAGAAAGGAAAAGTTAACTGACCAGTAGCCAATAAAATACTGAATTTTAATTATCCCTATTTCTCTTTCTTAGTGTCTGTTGCTAGGGGCCATTGTGTGTACTAACACCTCCAGTTCATTTTCTTTTAGTTGGAATAGAAGCAGTTGTATTTTTTTTTTTTGACCACCATGTACCTTTCTGAGCCATATTGGCTTAGTTGTTTTTCAATTTATGTTTTTATATTAATCACATTTTAAGGAGCAGTTTCAATATTTATAATATGGAATTTGCATTTAAAGTTGTTTTTGAAGGTATAAATTTCTTAGCTGGTATCATTTAATGTATGTGAATTACTTGTTTCAGATTTACAATGACATCCTTTCAAGAAGTCCCATTGCAGACTTCCAACTTTGCTCATGTCATCTTTCAAAATGTGGCCAAGAGTTATCTTCCAAATGCACATCTGGAATGTCATTATACCTTAACTCCATACATCCATCCACATCCAAAAGATTGGGTTGGTATATTTAAGGTAAGAAAACTTTCTGAATATGTCTTCCATGTAGGTACTTCTTATTTTTTTTTTTTTAAACAGATTGGGAAATAGCTTGTACTAACTTTGTCTCTGCATTAAGTTCAATTTTATAAACATTACCATGAAGTAGTATAACAATACACAGTAATATAAAACATGTTGGAAACATCATTAGGTTTTCTTTTCTGTGATCAAGAGGTTCATCTTCTTTAAGGTGTTTGTGTCTTAATTTTCAGACCCTTTTTAAAAACCCCATTTTCTCCAGTTCTACCTGAAAAACAACAATAATTAAAAAAAAAACAAACCAACCTTTTCCTTCAACTTTCTAAATCATTTACTGTCTTTCTAGTCATTTGTGATTACTTGTGTACAGCTCTATAACTTTTTTGTGGGGCGGGATTGGGAGGAGGTAGACCAGGGATTGAACCTAGAGACACTTAACCACTGAATGATACCCCCGGCCCTTTTTTGTATTTTATTTAGAGACAGGGTCTCATTTAGTTGCTTAGGTCCTTGATAAGTTCCTGAGACTGGCTTTAAACTCTTTTTTTTTTTTTTTTTAAATTCTAATTGTTACACATGATCATGCCTTTAAACTTTTGATCCTCTGGGCTTAGCCTCCCAAGCTGCTAGGATTATAGGTGTGTGCCACTGTGCCTGGGTCAATGTCTCTTTTTTGTTCTGCATTGGGTAAATATTGCTCATATTGTTGAATCCTTCATTGTTTGATGCTCCTGAATAGATAAGTCTGTTTACTTTTTGTACCCGGCTTCCCTATGTTTTTCAATGTTTAAGTTGATGTTACAATTCTAAATGCAATACTTTTCTTTATTCTTGCTACTGATGGAATAAAAGGGAAGTTTCCTTGCATTACAATGTCCTGCAGCATTTAGAATTAAATTCTAACCAAGTGACCAGGAAAAAACAAGAAACAACCTGTGGTTTCAACACTTTGTGATTTATTGACCCCCTTTTTTTGGTACCAGGGATTGAATTCAGGGGTACTTGACCACTGAGCCACATCTCCCGCTCATATTGTATTCTTATTTAGAGATAGGGTCTCACTGAGTTGCCTAGGGCCTCACTGAGTTGCTGAGTCTGGCTTTGAACTCTTGATCCTCCTGTCTCAGCCTCCTGAGCTATGGGCACCACTGTGCCTGGCTGTTTACTGTTTTTTTTTTTTTAAACATTTTATTTTATTTTTTTAGTTGTAGGTAGACACCTTTATTTTATTATGTGGTGCTGAGGATCGAACCCAGCACCTCATGCATGCCTGGCGAGCGCTCTTCCCCTGAGCCACAACCCCAGCCCTGTTGACTCTTTTAATTAAGATTTATTATTCTTGTAAATAGGCTCCTACATAATTTTAGATGCCCATCTTGTGTATTTCTAACATACTTTCTTGTGGGAGCATAGATGCAAAGTATAACTTCCCAAAGGAGCCTTCCTATTCTTTGTATCTTTCCAAATTGAGAGACTTCTGGATTTATTTTTATGCATTCTCCCCAACATTTCCCTTCCCTGAGTAACCTAAAAACTGTTGGTCTATTTTTCAAAAGGAGTTTGAAGAAGTTCTTATTTAAGATAGAAATAAAAAATTGGGTTTTATCTTGCCTCGACTTCTTGGTGGGCTCAGTACCTGTTTTTGGTGCAAACAGTCCATCTTGGAATACATGGAACCTCTTAAAGTACTGGTGTGTGTTCTCTTAGATGGGATGCTGGTAATTAAAAACAGTCCAGGAAGGCAAATGTGTAAGTTAACATTCTAGTTTACTCCTAAGAAATAGACAAAGCTATTGTGATTCAGTTGTAGAAAACACGCAAGGACCAAACATACCACTAAATATCTTTTTGATGTATTTCCCCCCCAACTCCCAAGTCTCATCTCCCTTATCCTTTCTTCCTGCCCAGCAGACAGATCTTGAGTTTTCTGGCTCAGTAATCTTTCTGCCTTAGCCCTGAGTAGCTGGGACTTTAGGCACATGCCACCATTTTTTTTTTTTTTAACTTTAAAAAATACATATATAAAATATAATACCTTAACTATTTTTAGCTGTGCAATACTATGGTGTTAACTGTATGCACCTTGTTATGCAAAAGTTCTGTAGCACTTTTAATTTTGCAAAACTGAAACTGAACAACTCTGCCCTCCTTGAACAACAACGCACCCCCCTGGAACCTTGGCAATCACTATTCTGCTTTCTGTTTCTAAGAGTTTGGTTATTTTAGATATCTCATATAAGTGGAATCATGCAGTATTTGTCTTTTTGTGGCTGGCTTATTTTGTTAGACTAATGTCCTCAAGTTTTTCTTGATATGATTAAGATTTTGATTTGCCACATTATCATTAAACATTTTATTCCTTAATGGACATTTAGATTGCTTATGCTTCTTGGCTATTGTGCATAATACAATGGGAATAGATGGACAAATCTCTCTTCAAGGTCCTGTTTTCTTTTTTTTGTTGTTGTGGTACTGGGGATCAACCCAGGGCCTTATGCATGCTAATGGACCAGTTTTCCCTGTTACCACTGGGCTACTTCTCAACCCCAAGATCCTGTTTGCAGTTCTTTTTGGATTTATATCCTGAAGTAGAATTGCTGTATCATAGGTAATTCCATTTTTAATCCCTTCATACTGTTTTCCATAGCAGCTGCATCATTTATTTCCATTTCCATTAACAGAGTGTAAGGGTCCCAGTTTCTCTGCATTTTCCCTGACTCCTGATATTTTTTCTTCTTCTTCTCCCATAGTAGAAAATATAGGAAACAAATGTTATTTGATGTCTCATTGTTTTGATTTATATTTGCCTGATGATTATTGATGTTGATGTTGAGCAATTTTTCATTTGTTCTTACTCCATGTGTATTATTTCTTTTTTTTTTTTTTTTTTTAACTGGTGCTTGAGATTGAACCTTTGGTCTTATGCATGCTAGGCACACTGTACCATTGACCTACACCTCTAGGCCTTCATTTGTATATTTTCTTTGGAAACACGTCTGTTCAAGTCCTTTGCTTGTTTTATTTAAGATTACATTTTTGTGGTTTAACTTTAGGAGTTTGGTTTTGAAATTATTTTTAAATTGATAAATAAAAATTGTGTATATTTATGTTGTACAGTATGATTTTATGTTTGTATATATCATGGAATGGTTAAATCAAACTAAATTCTTTATACATATTCTGGATACTACCCCCTTACCAGATATATGGCCTTTTCACTCTGTTAAGATTTTTTTTTTTTTTTCCCTTTTGCTTCACAGGAGTTTTTAAGTTTGATAACAGTCTTGCTTGTTTATTCTTGTTTTTGTTGCCTGTGCTTTTGATGTCATATCTAAGAAGCATTGCCAAAACCAGTGTCATAAAGGTTTTCTCCTGTGTTTTTATTCTGAAAGTTTTATAGTTTCAGGTTTTTTGCTTAGGTCTTCAATCTGTTTTGAGTTAGGTTTTGTATATAGTTTAAGGTAAATGTCTAATTTCATTGTTTAATATGTGGATAATCTACTTTCTCAACACCTTTTTTGATGAAGAGACTATCCTTTCTTCATTATGTAGCTTTAGTACCCTTGTGGAAGTTCATTTGGCTTTACTTGTGAAGGTTGTTTTTTGGACCCTCTCTTGTGTTCTGTTGGTCTGTCTTCTGTTTTGCCAATACCCATACTGTTTTGATTACTGTAGCTTTGTATAATATATTTTGAAATCAGGAAGTGCAAGGCACAACAAGGCCTTCAGTTAAATATGTATTTCTCAGGATTGTTTTAACTCTTGGGAACCTTTGAGACTTCCAATTGGAGTTCAGGGAATTTTTTTTTCTCTAATTCTGCAAAAAATACAACTGGTACTTCACTAGGGATTAACCTGAGACTTAAAATGTCAATAACATTCAAAGTAATTTAACAATATTGTCTTCCAGTCCATGAATTTATCTTTCCACTTATTTGTATCCTTTTAAAATTTTTTCGGTAATGTAGCTTTCATCAGTCGGTAGTCCACTGTTTAAGTATATTATAGCTGTCAATATATAATCATTTCATTCTGAACATTCTTTCATTGTCTTACACAAGGAACCTTTGGGGGGGGGGGACACCTTATATCCAAACAATATATTTAATTACGTTGATTTCCCCTTCTCCCTTTATGTATACTCTCTCCTCTGATTTATTATTTCCTTCCTTTTGCTAATTTTGAAGTTTCTTGAGACATAAAGAAATTAGGTCTTTTTTAAGGTAGATGTTTATACCACACAATCTTTTAGTACTGCTTTTGTTGCATCCTATAAGTTTTGGTGTGATGTATTTTAGTTTTCATCTGTCTGGATCTAAGTTCTCTTAATGATTTCTTATTTGATCTAGTGATTGTTCTTGAGTATGCTGTTTAATTTTCTACATATTTGTGAATTTCCCAGTTTTTAAAACTGATTTCAAGTTTCATTCTGATGTGCTAGAAAATGTATTTGTTTATTAAAAAAATTTCTAAAGTTGTAGATGGACACAATGCCTTTATTTTGTTTTTATGTGGTGCTGAGGATTGAACCCAGTGCCTGACATGTGCAAGGTAGGCGCTCTATCATTGAGCTACAACCCCAACCCCGAAAATGTGTTTTTTACGTTCCATTAAGCCTTATTGTTTTGTGAAGTTGAAGGCTCTACCACTGAGCTACACCTACAGCCTGTAGTAAGTCTTGTGTCCTAATGTAGTCTGCCCTATAGAATGTTTCATGTGTGTTTGAGAAGAATGTGTATTCTTCTGTTAATGGGCAGTGCTCTGTATATATGTATCAGGTCCAGTTAGTTTATAGTATTGAAATCCTTTGTGTCTTCATTGATCGTCTATTCAGTGGTTGATCTGATCACTGTTAAAACTGAGGTATTGAAATCTATTATTGTTACTATTTCTGTCTTCCTTCAATTCTGTCAGTGTTTGCTTCATATATTTGGATTGGTCTGCTGTTATTTGTGAATATATTTATAATAGTTATATCTTTCTGGTCAATTGAATCTTTTATCCTAATGTAATGTCCTTCTTAAAGTCTCTTGTGAATGATTGAGTTAAAGTCTATTTTGTCTGATACATGTATGACTAACCTGTTATGTTTCGATTGCCACTTAAGCACTTTTTAAAAAAAAATATATCTTTTTACTTTTATCCTTTGTCTTTATGATTAAAGTGGATCTCTTCTAGACATAATATAGTGGGTCTTGTTTTTATTCATTTGGCTACTCTCTGCTTTTAAGTGCGGAGTTTAATCCCTTCACATTTAAAGTCATTATTGACAGAGAAGGACTTTCTATTGCCATTTTGCTAATAGTTTTATGCATTTCTTTTTAATTATTTTGTACTGGTTTTCCTCTCCTCTACTGTCTTTTGTATTTTGTTGCTTTTTTTTTTTCAATAAGCATGATTACCTTTTTCTTTTGTTCTCCTCCTATAGGTATTTTCTCTGGTTTATGTACTCTCCATAGGGATTACATAAACATCTTATATTTGCAACAATTTATTTTAAACTGATAATGAGTTTAATTGCATGCAAAAACTGTACTCTATATCTCTCTTCCACTTTGTTTTTAAAAATTATCTTTTTATTTCCATCCTTAATCATAGTTTTTACATTTATAGTTATTTTATATGCTTTTTTTTTTTTTAAAGTTTTACACTAGAATTAAGAGTGATTGAAATATTTCACCACCATTACAGTATTACAGGATTACCTTTTGGACTGTAATGTTTCTGCTGAGAAATCTCCCCACAATCTCATAAAAGCTTCTTTTGTGATGTGTCACTTTTCTCATATCAAGATTTTATTTTACTGACAGTTTGATGATAATGTATCTTGGTGTGAACTTCTTTGGGTTTTTCGTAGTTGGGATACTTTGAGCTTCTTGAATTTTGGTGCTCATTTCCTTTTTCAGATTTGTTTTTTTACTTTATTTTTGATGTTTGTACTGGGAATTGCACCCAGGGGCTGCTCACCACTGAGCTATATTTCTGGCCCTTTTTATTTTGAGACAAGGTCTCCCAAAGTTGCCCAGACTGGCCTTGGTCTTTCAATTCTCCGTCTCAGCCTCTGGAGTAGCTGGGATGAGAGTCATGTGCCACTGTACTCATCTCTTTTTTTCATGTTCGGGAAGTTTTCAGCTATCATTTTTACTAATACGTTTTTCCACACCCCTGGTTTTCTATCTGAAACTTTGATAATGAGTATATTATCTACTTGATGGTTTCTCATAAGTCCCTTAGGTATTACTTTTTTCCCTTTTTTTTTTCTTTTTTGTTGTTGTTTCTTGATTCAGTAATTTCAAATGACCTCTTGAGTTTGCTGATTCCTAATTGTGTTTAAGTCAGCTGTTGAAGTCTTCTTTTGGATTTTTTAAATCCACAATTTATTTGATTCTTTTTAGTTTTTCTTTCTTTATTCGTATGCTCATTCATATGTTTTCATCATTTTTGTTTAGTTAATTATATTGTTCTCTGATAGTGTGCTAAGCTTCTTTAAGATGATTATTTTGAATTCCTTGTCAGGTTACTAATCTCTGTTTCTTTACTGTTATTTTCTCAAGACTTATTTTATTTCTTTTGGCCTTATTATTTTTTTCTGTTTGTGTGTGTGTGTGTGTGTGTGTGTGTGCATTTGATAAAGTACCCATCTATCTCAGCCTTTCCAGACTAGCTCTGTACAAGGATGACCTTCACCAAATGACCTGTCTAGGTTCTGGGGGCCCCTTAAGCCTTTTATTTGGATGTGTTTTCACTGGGTGTTTGCATATTAATTTCTCAGACTGGGATGTTTGCAGATTCCTCATTCAGGTGTTTGTACTTTCTCCCTCTGGTGTCTGTCTGTGATACTGCAGTTCTCTGGTGCTGTAAAAAGCTGTTGAGCAGTCCTTTGTTCTTCACAGTGCCAAGCAACTCAAATATTCTAGTTCTCTGTCAGTGCCATGTTAAGCAAGACAGAAACCTGAACAGTCCACTGAAAAGCCAGAACGTTGGGTGCATATTGTGGTGTTCTTTTCCTCTCAAGGGAGAAACTGCAAACTGGGATATTCTCCCCATCTTGCTAAATTGTGCCAGCTTACAGGAAGGGCTATTGTGGTTGTTATGAAGTTGCTCTTCTTACACTTTACAGTGCAGCTGTTCTTGACTTTGAGCTTGCCTGTGTGTACTACAGCTGGTTTTCGGAGTTCTCACAAAGGACTGTATATTGTTGTTAAGTTGATATCTCTGTGGGAGAACAAGGTCTTGGCCACCTATTCTGCTATCTTGTTGACACTACTTTGTTGATGTTATTTCCTTTTTACATCTTTTCCTCATCTGGTAAAAGATCTCATTTCCCCTTTGTTTTTCTTCTCATGGGGGACAGTTAGGAATGAAGCTTTCCCTCTTTTCCTTGTTTCTTTTGTTTTTTTTTGTCAATTGTTTTTCTTTAGGAATTATTATAGTCATAGCAGTAGTGTTGGAAGGAAGGAGGTGGAGTTTCAGAAAGTATGAAGATATGTTCTATTCTGCCTGGAGAGAGTAGTGTTTTGGTGGTGAAGAGCTTGAATGTTAGTTTCCAATTCTGCCTGCCTTTTAGTAGCCATTTACTTGTTTCTTGGTTTGTATAATGAAGATGATAATAGTAAGCCAAAAAAAAAAAAAAAAAACCCACAAAATCCCCCAAACATTGAGTGAACTGTATAGGTTATTGCTGTCTGATATTATTTGAATCAGATTTACGTAATCAAAGTTAACAGTTTTGTATGTTCTCACAAATAAATGGCATACTCGGCTTCAATATTCTGTTGTTTGTAAACTTAGAGCAGTCAGAATCATAGAACATATATATTCTAAATCTATGGTAAAAGTATAATTTTTATAATATTATGAAGAAATGAATATCAAGTACCTATTCTAAGCATCTCTAAAATACAGTACTTAACACAGTATAATTTACCAGCACAATACAGATTGAGATATATATTTGTGTTTTAAATTGAAATATTTTAGCATTAAATGATATAGTGGTTTATTTGTATATGTAAACATCTTAATGTGAAAAGCCCTCCTACAAATTTATAAATTCCTTACAGGCAAGACTTGCCAAAAATGAGAGATTAGTGAAGTTAGCTAGTGGATTCAATTGGAAGGGAGGGTGACTAAGAAAAAAATGAGAAACTTAAATTTTAAGGTCTAAAAGAATTCAGTTTTTTAAAAATCCTCTTTTTAGTTACCTCAGATTTAAAGCAAAATAGAACTTTTTGTATTTGATCATGTGCATTTATAGATCACCCTTGAGAAATTAGATAGCAAATTGATTTGAATACATGGTAGAAACTCTGATACTTAATCTGTGTAGGTTTTTATAGCATTGGGCTTTGGCCTAATTAAAAACAAAACAGACATGCTTTTTAAAATATTTGTGATTTGTAAACATTAAATGCATGTTTTAACTTTAGTATATGGAAAAAAATCCTTTGAGATACCTGAATAATATGAAACTGTTTATTTATATTCCTTCTTTTTGTTATCCCTCTTTAGGTTGGGTGGAGTACCGCTCGTGATTATTATACATTTTTATGGTCCCCTATGCCTGAACATTATGTAGAAGGATCAACAGTCAACTGTGTACTGACATTTCAAGGTAAGGACTGAGAACTGTAGAACTTGACAAGACCAAATGTCCTATTACCGTTAAAAAATTGTACCCCATTATAATGATCTGTTCAGGCATGTCTGGGTACCAGAGTTAAACTAGTGTCTTTGTTAGCAGAAGTCATAATAGTGTAAATATCAAATATAAGCTACATGATATTTTAACAGACATTTAGAAATTTTTATTATCATTTAATTGAAGACAGTGGATTTCTTTCTATAACTTTTGAATTTTTTTTTTTTTTTGGCAAGAAAACAATACCATTGCTAGTATTAGGGGTGGGAGACATGGGAAGAATTTGATTAGTGGGTACTAAGTTGCAGGTAAATGAGAGTAAGAAGTTCTGTTTTGTTATTGCAAGTAGTGAAACTATAGATGACGAATATGTACTATATTTCTCAAAAGCAAGAAAAAAGAATGTTGAATGTTTTGGCTATGAAGGGATATTTGAGGGGATAGATACATTTAACCTAATTACACAGTGTAGGCACACATCCCCACATCACATGGTGTCTCATTAATATGTGCAATTTTAATTAAAAGTGGCCTTGCTTAAAAAAAAAAGAATGTAGCAAATTCGAGTAAGGAAAGTAATCTAGATGGAAACCACCAAGATGGTTAATAGGATTCTAACATGTGACGGTTCCTATAAAATGGATATAAATAAATAAATAATTTATTCTTAGTTTGGCATCACATACAGATTTTTAATACTCTTATTCAGATAATTCTGTCCTATGCCACAAGTTGGATGAACCTTGAGGACATTATGCTAAATCAAATCAGCTAGTCATCAAAAAGCAAATACTGTATGATTCCATTTATAGAGTGGACAGACTCAAAGAGATAAGACACTAAAATGGTGATTACCAGGGCATAGTGAATGATAGGGATATAATGAAAGACAGGAATATAGAGTTATTATTTAATAGATACAGAGTTTCAGTTTTGCAAGATGAAGAGTTCTGGGATGGACAGTGGCATGGTTTTTACACCATGAATTACTTATCACTTAAGTGTATGCTTTAAAATGATTAAAATAATAATTTTGTTATTTGTTTTGTCTGTAATTTTAAAAGTGAGAAAATACTCTTATTTAGAAGTCCATCACAGAATTTTTGCAGAGTGATTTTGTTTTATAATTGTACTGACTATGGGTTGTATTAAAGTAAGTTCTTAGCCTTTTATATACCATGGACTCTTTTTGGTCTTGTGAAGCTTATGGACTCTATCATAATATTTTATGCATATGAAATAAAGTGCGTAGAATTGCTAAGAAAACTGAGTATATTTAAGTATAGTTAAAGTGTTATAGGATCAAATTTTGTGATTTTTTTAAAAAATATATATATTTTTTAGTTGTAGTTGGACACAATACTTTTATTTTATTTATTTTTTAGTGGTGCTGAGGATTGAACCCAGCGCCTCACATGTGCTCGGCGAGCACCCTACCGCTTAGCCAAAACCTTAGCCCCCAAATTTGTAATATGTTAATGTGTGCTTTAAAATTTATATGTTAACAAGATGTTCTGGCAGATTTAATAATTGCCATAATTCAAAGTAAGATAGCACTGATACTAGTAACAGTGATCATGTGATATTAACCTCTGTCAAAAAATCTAATTACAGTAGTAAAAATAATATTAGTAATAGAAATTACAGATAGTGATAATTCTTTGTGGCTTCTAGCCTATATTAATGATCAAAGAACATGCTAAAATTTAATGATAGATGTTAGTAAAAATAAAATTGTAATGCTTTGTTGTTGAGAGAGAGAGCATCTATTTGTTTTAAGTGCAGCATAACTTGGACCCTATGCTTTTAGCTTTGGTACAGTGTGGTTTCCACACTTAACTGAACTTTGGAATCACCAGGGGGATTGCATGTTCAAGACATGCAGATTCTTAAATTACACCTTTAAAGATTGGGACTTGATTGGAGTATGGCCTGGGTTTTAGAACTGTTAGAAGTTCAACAGGTGCTTCTGATATGTAGAAGAGTCACTGGCGTAGAGGTAAATTTTCAACAAATATTGTTAACATTTAATTATATGGTCTTATCTAAATTAAAGTGTACTATTTAGTATTAGGCAGTATCTGACTTGGATTTGGTGACATGTGCAAAGCAGACTTTTAAATAGTTAGCTTCAGATAATCAGATAGTTTAATTTACTTTTAAATTTTAAAATGTCTTCTCTTTTGGAACAGGTTTGAGCTTATAGCAAAAAATGAGCAAAAAGTACAGAGTTCCCTTATATCTTATAACCTTTTGCTTATTATTAAGTTTATAGTTTACATTAAGGCTCACTCTGTAATATCTATTCTATAGATTTTGAGGAGTAAAGACTCATATTTACTGTTGCAATATCATACAGGGTTTTACTGCTCCCCAGATCCACTTGTTTGACATATTCATCTCCTTCCTTCCCTGCAAACTCCTGGCAATCACTGATTTTTCTCTGTAATTTTGACCTTTACAAATGTGATGTAATTGGAATGTGTAGTTTTTCACATCCACTTCTTTCACTTAGCAGCATGCATTTAAAGTTCCCCTAGGCCTTTCTTTATTTTAAATGTCTGAATAATACTCCACTGTATGGATGTATCACAATCGTTTCCCTGTCCCCCCACCCCCAAGTCCCTCTGCTGTGCTAGAAATTGAACACGGGGCCTTAGGCATTGTAGAACATGCACTCTACCACAGACCTGTATTCCCATCTGTTTTTTGTTTATCCATTTAATCTAATGAAGGAACACCTTGCCTAATCCAAGGTTTGGCAGTTATTAATAAAACTTTATAAACATTTTTGTGTAGGTTTTGTGTGGGTATAAGTTTCCAGTTCATTTCTGTAAATACCCAAGGAATGTGATTTCTGGATGATATGGTAATGGTACCTTATGTTCAGTTTTGTGAGAAATTGACTAACTATCTTCCATAGTGATTTTATCATCTTGCATTCCCACTAGCAATGAATGCTGTTTTATATCCTCAGCATTGGATTTTGGTGGCCTATGTTTAAAAAAAAAATTTCAGCCAAGCATGGTGGCGCAGGCTTATAATCTCAGAAATTCCAGAGGCTGAGACAGGAAGATTGCAAGTTCAAAGCCAGCTTCAGGAATTTAGCAAGACGCTGTCTCAAAAAGGGCAGGGGATGTGACTCAGTAGTTAAATGCCCCTGGGTTAAATCCCTGGTATCAAAAATAAACAAATATTTAAATTTTTTTCTTTTTTTATTTGTATGTATGTTTGTATATTTGTCTGAATTGGCAGTGTGACCACATGGAGTTTGCATGTATACAAAAATTTCCCTTGTGTTCTATGCCAAAAAAAGAAATATTCAGAGGATGTAATTTGTAGTGTAATATGGGTAAGGATTTAGGGTCTTGTAGATGTGTTTTTTGACCTGGAGGTATAGCTCAGTGGTAGAGTGCGTGCTTAGTATGTATGAAGCCCTGGGTTTTAGTCCAAGCACCACCTCACCTCATTGCAGAACAAGACACATAAATAACATGCAGAGTTTATCTTTTAATACCAAGCCTTTTTAAAGATGGTCAAATTTAAGTATGTGTATTGGAACTGATTTTGTTTTATTTTATATTTATATTTTTTTCTTTAAAGGTATGGGTTTATTTCTAGTCTTTAGTACCAGGAATTGAATGCAGGGTTGCTTTAACCACTGAGCCACACCCCTTTTATTTTGAGACTAGGGTCTCCCTAATTTGCTGAGGTTGGCTTTGAACTTTGGATTCTCTTACCTCAATCTCCCTCCAGTAATTTTTATTGTGATTTGTTTTTTTCTTAAAAAATAAGTTGTTAATATACTGAATCGGTTCTGTTGACTAATGCAATATTAGTGACAAGTGAAAAGTTTATATGTATTTAAAGAAAGTATTCAATTTATTTCTATTTATACCTTAAAATTTTTTGGGAGCCAAGCATAAATATTAAAGTAAGTTGTATAAGTGTTAATTTTTATTTTTAATTTTGATATCCAGAAGTAAAAGCTTCTTCCTACCTAGAAAGCTTTTTATTTCTTAGTTTTATAAGGAAGTTGTAGGGGTAGAGTCATGGGATAACTCAGTCACACAGACTGTTAGAATTAAGAGATGTTTTAAGCACAGTCCAGAATCACTGCACTGATTTTGTGGATGAGTCTTTAAAATTCTGAAATGCAAAACTCCAGACAATTAACAAGAAATACTTTAATGTGATTGTTTTCCTAAATGGACCTTTATTCATTTATTGAAATCAAATTGAGTGCTAATTAAGACAATGATTAGCAAGACTAACTCAGAATTTGGCTTTTACTTTTTTCTGTTTAATTTTCAGCAATACTAATCAGATAACAAGTTTTTAGAAAAATAACTCTAAATTGCAGCTCTGAATAATTGTGTGTAATTCAAATGGCATTTGAACCATATTTTTAGCAGCTTATGAATGAGATTTTTTTTAAAGTATGAGACCTTGAATATCTAGTTTGTAGAATTTTTAAGTGATAATACTAATTTATCAGACTATTTTTATTTTCTGTTAAACTTTTTAAATAAGGCTGTGGCTATTTGGAAACTTTTTCTGCTATGGATGATTAAATTCAGCAGTAGATATTAGGAGGGTGAAATTTTAAAAGCATAATGTCAGGGCTGGGTTGTACCTCAGTGGCAGAGCACTTGCCTCGCACATGTGAGGCACTGGGTTTGATCCTCAGCAGCACAAAAAAATAACAAACAAAATGAAGATATTGTGTCTATGTATAACTAAAAAAAAAAAATGAAATCAGGTGATATAGGTGTCATAATAATGAGTCTGAAAATTTTAAGACATGAAGAATAGCAGACATAGTAATTAAAATTTGAGCTACATATTGGTTGAATTTATTCATTTTGTTTATTCACAATTATAGAATGTTTCCTTTTTAGACATTTAATTCTAGAATTTATTTATAATATATACATATATAAATAAATATGCATCTGCTCTGGGAGAGTGTGTGCACAAATGTATGCATCTGTGTGTCTGTAGTTTTTGAGATCTGATGTAGGAGGTAAAGCATGTAGATAGTGAATAGTAATTCAGAATATACTATTGAAGTTTTCTTTATTGTAAAAAATTCTCTGATATTTGGAGATGAAGTAAACAATTTTGAGTTAGGAAGTCAAACAACAATTAAAAGGTAGAGTGACAGTTGAATAAAGAAAGGCACAAATATTGAACACATTTTATTTGTCATATAGTAGCTAAATGGTATAAATAATTATCTATAGATACATAGGAACTCTTGAGATGTATGGTGTATGTTTTGTATGAATATGAGTAGATCTGTGTGGTTCCAAGCTTTTTATTGTCCTGCACCACTGGTCCTCACCATCTTATTTCCTTTTACACAGTTCACATGTGCAGCATATTGCTTTAGTTATTTCCTTTTTCCATATAATGAATGTCAACTTGAAGGAAAATTTCCTTACATATTCCTGTGCCCACTTGCAGTCTTTCTTAGATTTTCATCATGGGTCTTTCCTTGCCTTCAGTCTCTTTCCTTTGAAAAGTACATATTTCCCCCTCTCAGATGAGTTGGTTTTGCCCTAGTGAAAGGACAAAGTTAGGAGGTCATAGTCTGGGATTATAAATTTAGGTCTAAGAGATGAAAAATTTGGGTATGTTTGAGGAAGAAGGAAAAGTCTCATTTTGACAGATTTGTGGAAAAACAGGAGGAAAAGAAATATCCCAGATAGGTGCTAAGAAAAGGGGAGGAAAGGAGAGATGGCAAGTATTGTTAAAGTAAATTGAAGGTAGTATTTTATAATAGCAGGTTTAATAATTTTTGTCTTTTTGTTTGTTAAATACCTCTTAGGATATTACCTTCCAAATGATGATGGAGAATTTTATCAGTTCTGTTATGTTACCCATAAGGGTGAAATTCGTGGAGCAAGTACACCTTTCCAGTTTCGAGCTTCCTCTCCAGTTGAAGAGTTGCTTACTATGGAAGATGAGGGAAATTCTGACATGTTGGTAGTGACCACAAAAGCTGGCCTTCTTGAGGTTGGTATCAACATGGAGCTAAGAACTCATGTTAGCTGACATTTTAAGAACTTTCACGTTATGCAAAAGTATTCATAAAAATCAAGTGTTTTTTTTTTTTTTTAACTAAAATAATAAACTTAAGAATGTCTTTTTAAAAGAACAATCTTTATTTCTTGGTTCTATTGTGGCAGAGCTGTCCCCATGGTCTAACAGTATTTTATGCATAATAGGTATTGTAGTAAATCTTTATTGAGAGAATTTAGACCTAAAACTTTCTTTATGTTTACTTGTTGTAACCATTTTTCTTTCATGGTAGCCAAACTGTTGATTGTTAAATAGTATAGATTTGAGGGATGAAGTTGGTTGGGATACTGGAATAAAAATGATAAATCTTAACTGCAATTAGATGTGAATTTTGTTTTGTTTTACCATGAACATGTTTTTTCTCTAGTATGGTAGTGAATTAGGAAAGCATCCTCAGTCTTTTAATTTAGGTTGAGTATTTTTAGTTATTCTTTTTCTTGAACATCTGATCAAAATGAATAAACCTGGATTAACCATAATTTATAAAGAAAGGGTAAAAGGTCTTCTTTTAAAAAATTGAATAATGTAGTTATGTCATTGGCTGTATAATATTGTTGTATATCTTAAATTTTAGTAGTCATTGAAAGAGAACATAAAATAACATTTTTTTCATTGTAAGATCACGTTTTCTGGTGTCTTTATCCTATGCCCCCCCAAGTAGACTGCTATACTTAGTTGTTTTGAACTTAGTGTCCTTTGTTGTAATAAGAAAAATAGTTTTTCTGATTGGCTCAGTATGTACTTTTTGTTAATTTACATTCATATTTTATCTATTACAGGTCTTTGTTTTTTCATTATAGTCATATGGATCTTCTTAAACATTTTATGTCTTTGATTTTATTTTATTTATGTTAAAGAACTGAGATTACAGGGGGGAAAAGAAGTTATATTTTTAGATAGTTAGAAGGTTAGAAGGAACGAATCATTTTTTATTGTGAATTCTCCCATGTCTTTCCTTTTTCCAGAAATTCCTCTCTTATCTTGAATAAAGAAATGTAACTTTTATAGGGTGACTAGAACATTTTGTGGTGACAACTGCCTGATGATCAAGGTTTTTAGCCTGGTATTTGAATGCTAGTCAAAGATGCTGAAACAAACCTAGCTCTTAAGAAGAATGCTATTAGCATTTATACTGCAATTTTTTGAATACCACTTAGACCACCCTGATTCCAGGCGCTCCAGCACAAAAGCGGTAGGCATTTTGGCATTCACATTTTGCCTGTGCTTTTTCTTCATGTAAATTGGGAAATAGCACAGATTTATTTCACTTCTTTCTTCCCTTCTACAAAGTGTACATTTATAAAGAAAATTTAAATTGCTCTCTTAAGTAACTATTTCTGAGATAATTTCCTGACCATCTTTTGACAAATCTTTTAATTTCCACATTCATTAAAATTTTGGGTGATTTTGTCTAATACTTCAATACAACTGTGAAACATTTGGGACCCAGTGACATTCAAGGCGATTGAGACATAATCCTGTAGTGTGTGAAGCTGAATTGGATAATAGGCTAAAAAAGAGACAATTTGGGGACAGTAAAGGATGTTTGATTATTGCCTGCCTATTGGATGAGACAATATTATTTTTTATAGCTATAGTAATAGTTGTTGAAAAAGAGACTACCCTCATCATAGGATGAGGTACTTAAGAGTTAAGTATTGCCAATTTTGTTTCAAATGATTTAATAAGAAAAAAGAAGAAATAAAAATTTATATAAATAATCTTAAGTATACAAAGAGAAAATATACATTGCAAAATATTAATATAGTGAATTGTATAAAAGGAGTTCATTGTAAAATCTTATTCTCTGTGCTTGAAAGATTGCATAATATATATTGTCGAGCAGAAATTAGATTTTTATATCTAAATTTAAAAATTATATGTGTAAACTTTATTAAACTTCATAAAGTTAGATAAATCATGGAGGGGGGAGTGGTTTTCTGCTAATTAATGTTCTGTTTTAGTACATCAAGATATATTTTTATTTTGCCAGTAAGTTTTGAGCCAGATTTTATGCTAAGTTATTAATACTGTTAACTATTAGAATCATAGATTTGATCCTAATTTTCTCTTGAATTAATTGAATATCATTGATTGTAATTATCACAATTTCTTTTTTAAATAGATAAAGCATAAAATACATTTCATGACTAAATACACTTTTCCCTTTTGAAAATATTTTTCTTGGCATTTTTATTTGGTCTATTGGTATAGGTAGAAGGGTCATTCAAAAAGTTTTCAGCTATTCAACTTTCATAAGAGCCATTTAATAGTTAATCACTTTGATTCTATTACCCTGGAAAATTTAATTTTAAGATGTATTGGCGGGGCTGGATTGTGGCTCAGTGGTAGAGTGCTGGCCTCGCATGCATGAGGCACTGGGTTGGATCCTCAGCACCACATAAATGTAAAATAAATACATTGTGTCTACCTAAAACTAATAAATAAATATTAAAAAAAAAAGATGTATTGGGAGGAAAATATTTTACCACCTAAATGTGTAATCCCTCTTGTGGAGTATTCCCTCTAAGTTTCTGTTCTTTGGTTAAAAGGAATGAATTCTTGCTGTAAGAGAAATACTAATCATTTTATTTACTACCATTTTAGGTCCACAATTAAAAATATATATTTTTGAATACTGGAGTTCAGATTTTCCTGAACTATTTGTATTCTCATAAAAATAAGTTATATTTTTAATGAGTTGTTACAGTCTGTTTTTGTCTTAAAATTTACATTTTTATTTATAAAGATTGGTTTAATTTAGCCAAATAAAAGCATGTGCATGCGTGTGCACACATGTGCATGCACAGTTTATTGTTTGGTGCTTTATTTTAAGAACCAAAATTTTAATGGTAATCCCTAGATGGAGGCCTTTTGTAACATACAGTAAGTTCTTAATAGATTGAGATTTCTCATAGGTTTGCATTCATGAAGAGGTACAAATTTTCTTCGGGATATGTTTGATTATTGCTCTGGATAAGAAAGCTGAGTAATTAAATTACTTAGGAAATTCAGTATGTCTTATTTTCAGTGTTGATTTGAAAAATGGGTAGGAGGGAACTTCATGTATTCTTTTATGTATGTATTTTCTTCTTTGCCCAACCAAAAGAAAGTTTAAATTTATGATTCATGTAACTAGCTGGATGATATGAATAGGTAGACTACAAAATTTTGTTCTGTGAATTTCTTCACTGTTTTAAATGGAAAAGTAAATTTGCATTAATAGTTTAGGAGTAAGAAAAACAATTTATTTGCATTTTTTATTTTGTAGTTGAAGATTGAGAAAACCATGAAAGAAAAAGAAGAATTAATAAAGCTGATTGCTGTTTTGGAAAAAGAAACAGTACAACTTCGAGAACAAGTTGGAAGAATGGAAAGAGAACTTAACAATGAGAAGGAAAGATGTGAGCACCTGCAAGCAGAGCAAAAGGTTAGTTGTATGCTATGTAACCGAGTGGAGTTGATGGTACGTTGCCTGAAATCCACCTATTTAAAGAACTGAATCAATAAAAGTGAAAACCAGTTATTGAAAAAAAAAATAGTGCTTAAAAAGACATTTATAAAAGAATAGGTCAGGTCAGTTCCTATTGAGCTATGGCAAAAATAGCTTCTTTTATGTTTGAAGATAATTAAAATACTTCTAGACTTTTGGTATCAAGCTTGATGAGGTAGTCCCTGACAACTATTTCCAGATGTTTTACATGTAATTCTAGAATAATCGGTGGATTTTTTTTTTTTTTTTAATTGGGGAGAAGGTGTTGAAAGTACAGTGAGGAACAACACTTTAGAAGGAAAGACAGACTAAAGAAATTAAAATTACTTCTTAGAGAAGAATTTAGTGAATTAAGATGTTGTCTTAGGCAAAATTTTGAAATTCTTAATCTGGGAAATATGATACAGGTATCCTTAAAAACAATTAAGCCAGGCATGGTGGCCCATGCCTGTAATCCCAGTGGCTCAGGAGGCTGAGGCAGGAGGATCACAAGTTCAAAGGTTCAGCAACTCAGCAAAGCCTTAACCAACAATAACAAGGCCCTGTCTCAAAATAAAAAGGGCTGGGGATGTGGCTCAGTGGTTAAGTGCCCCTGGGTTCAATTCCTGATACCAAAACAAACAAACAAAAAACACCTAGTAAGAATTGGCATTACTTGAGCAAAGAAACAGAAGTATAAGTAGAAAATGGTGTAGCTTCATCAGAGATACAAATGGATTTGAGTTAGAAACTGAAGGGAAAAAAAAAAAAGGATTAAAGAGAAGGTCGCCATGTGCGCTGGCACACCCCTATAATCCTAGTGGCTCAGCTGGCTGAGGCAGGAGGATCACTAGTCAAAGCCATCTCAACAAAAGCGAGGTGCTAAGCAACTCAGTGAGATCCTGTCTCTAAATAAAACACAAAATAGGGCTGGGGATGTGCCCCTGAGTTCAATCCCTGGTACCAAAAAAACAAAAAAAAGTCACTCTATCAGTCATTAATTCCATATTTTCATAAGAAAAGTTATTAGTTCTGATAAAACTATCAGATTTTTATTATACGTACCACAATTTCACTTTAGCTAATTTGTCTATAGACTATAGATAAATCTATAGCTCACTTTGTCTATAGACAGGGTTGAATTATTACTCCCTAAAGGAAGGGTATGTTCCACCATTCTAAGAAATACTAGAGTAATTGCTTTGTAATTTAAAAAAATTTTTTTTAGTTGTAGATGAACACACAGTATCTTTTTTTATCTCTATGTGGTGTTGAGGATTGAACCCAGTGCCTCACACATGCAAAGCAGGCACTTTACCACTAAGCTACAGCTCTAGCCCCTGTAATTGTTAATTGAACCATTTGTGCAGTGATTCTAATATTTATACTCCAGCAGAGTAGTTATATATTCCATACCTGAATACAGTGATTTAAAATATATATATATATTTTTCAGTTGTAGTTGGACACAGTACCTTTATTTTATTTATTTTTATGTGGTGCTGAGGATTGAACCTAGTACCTTGCAAGTGCTAGGCGGGTGCTCTACTATTAAGTTACAAGCCCAGCCCAAAGGTGATGTTTTGTAAAAGCTAAATTATGAAAAAATTTCCCTTAGTTTATCCTAGTTTTTTTGTGGACTACTCTTTTGAGGTAGAGGGTAAGCATATCAAATAACATGTACATTTGTAAATTTCTTTATGAATGTGAAGTCTTTCTGTCCTTGTTAGCCATTTTAGTTAAAAAGTTACTCCTCCAGTTATACTTTTGGTGAACATTTTGCTTCAGCTGACCATATGACATAGAGTTTTCTATTTGGTTAGAGAACTTCTTTCATTTGAACTTCAAAGCAGGTATATCAAATATTAAAGTAGAGTAAAAATTACATAAATGTGCCTATGTTTATTATCAGGACCTTTAGCTAATTCTTTTTTTAATTCTTTTCTTGTAAATAGCCTTGCTATTTGTATAGTTATTACTCTTTATTCTCCATTCTTTACATGTTTTGCCTATTAGTTGGCTGTTTTCTAAAGTGGAATGCCAGCCCCCCCCCTCCCGCCACGTTCCCACACACACAGTGGATTGGAGGTCTTATAGATGTCCCTTGACAAAGGTCCATTTCAGCATATCTTAAGCTATCGAGAATACCCTGATTGATTTTTGTGATCTTTGAGGTTTTTGAGACTGATCACCTTGAAATCCAAGGAAAGTAAGGATGATTGGGAGAGTAGGCATGGCAGAATGATAGGTCTTTAAAATTTGAAATTACTAATGTTATATTAGACATTGCCTTTAGTTCAGTTGAGTATTAATAGATTTAGGTAGTCTTAGGCTCTCTCTGTTTAGGTGATAGATGGTGATAAATACTACAGATAAAGCTTAAGTAGACTGAGTTTGAGAAAATGATAGGCTGAGATCAGAGGATTAATGAAGCAAAACTTGTAGGAGATTATGACCTTGATGTCCAGAAGAGGTGTTCACCAGAAGTTTTAATGGCAACTCTTAAATCTTAATGACTTTTACTAATCTTGGAAGAAACTACTCTGCTGGTATTCTTGCATTGGGGCATATGCTGTAGAAAGTACTTGTGATGTTTTAATCAAACCCTATATTATAGAAAATGGTGATAAAAGAACCTAGAATGGTACCTGAAATATAGAAGGTTCTCCCTTAGGATAAGCAACTATTATTATTTTACTATTTTTTGTAATGATGAACCAGAGAATCATGAAGGAAAGACCATGTAAAGTGTTGTCCAACATGAATGGAATTCATAGCATTTTCCCTAGATTCTAAAAATATAATACAGTGTAATGTTAAAAAAAAAAGTCTTAAGTTATGGAAACGTATATTTTGGCTGTTGTTTATTTGTGGTGACAAAATAATGTACTTGCTATGAGAAAGAGTTCCTCTTTGATACCAGAAGTCAAGGGACTTCTAATTTTTATGAATTTGCTTTTTACCTCCAAAATTATATCCTCTTTCAAATATGCATGCTGGGGAGCTAGAACATCTTAGAACCTTTCAAACTTGTCCCGGTTGGGTGACTTATAAAATTCATGACATTCCTTGACACTTGTTTTAAATCTATTCTATGGATTAAATTATAAAAAATAATAATAATAAAAATCCTAATAGTTCTGTAGATCTTCTCTTTGAAGTACTGAGTAAACTTTTTTTTTTTTTTTTGGTACTAGGGATGTGGCTCAGTGGTCATGTGCCCCTGGGAATTGAACTCAGGGGCACTTGACCACTAAGCCACATCCCCAGCCCTGTTTTGTATTTTATGTAGAGACAGAGTCTCATTGAGTTGCTTACACCTTTCTCTTTGCTGAGGCTGGCTTTGAACTCGCAATCCTCCTTCCTCAGCCTCGTCAGCCCCTGGAATTACAGGCATGCTTATCATGTATCATTTATAGTTTCTTTAAAATTTTGCCATGTAAGAATGCGATCAGTAGAGATCTTTGGTTTCTTCACAATAGAAGAAATTGATTACTTTATAAAATAGTACGATTCGCTTATTACCCATTTAATAGTTGACAAATACTGAAAGTAAGTTATGTGTTTATAATTATTTATAAACAAAATCTTTAATCTCTTATTGTATTGATAAAAGATTATACCACTATAGAACACCATAGGAGAGAAAATTATAATAATTAAAACTAATTAAATTGAACTTAAAATCTTTACATTTTGAAATTAAGAATTGGATATGTTAAAATCAAAACAAATTGGTTTCAACTATATTTGTTTTTGCAATTATATTATGTAATTGACTTATAGAAAATAAGTAGGATTATAAAGTAGATTAAAATTCAAGTTATATAATGGTTATAAATTAAGAAATTATAAATTGTATTTCCCTTAGTTTATTGTGGTATGCATCCCATTATTCATGTACAATCTAGATTTAAAATTAACTTTCATTATTAAGATCCAGTTTTGCATTCATTTCTAGTCTTTAATTGTGGAGTTTTCCCTCCTCTCTTATAAAAGTCTGATTAATAAAAATAAGTTATAGTACTTAGTAAAAGCCAGGTAATGATCTGAGTTTTATATGTTAACTCAATTTTATGATGAAAATACTGTTAACTGGATTTTACAGAGGAAGCATAGAAAGGCTACTTAACCTGCCCACGGTCTCAGGGTTAGTAAGTTGTAGAGGGTTAGTAGCATGGCTCTATTCAGTGCTCTTAACCACTGCTGTTCTGAGGGCTGAAGGTGGGAATAGATCTAATTGATGTTTTAGCAAACAGGTTTATTGTGATGTAATTTATATACTATAAAGCTTACTACTTTAGAGAGTATAATTCAGTGGGTTTTAGTATATTTACAAAATTATGCAAGCATTTATCATATCTAAGTTTATGGCATATTTATCATCCCATAAAGAAAGGTTGTACCTATTTGCAGGCTTTCTCCAAATACCTCCCCATCCTTTCCCCTAGTCCCAGACAACTACTATATTTCATACAAAGGGAATCATAGAATATGGGGCCTTTTGTAAAAAGACTTGATTCTTTCATTTGGCATAATATTTTTAAGATTTCTTAAATGTTGTTATATATATCAGTAATTTATTCCATTCATTGCCAAATAATATTCCATTGTATTAGTGAATCTTTTTTTTTTTTTAACCCCACCTTTGTGTTTATTATAGATATCTGGAAAATCAGCAGTTCATTATTCATTGTGCTCTTATTTATATTTTGGAGTGACATATTTGAAAATTGAAAGATTGACACTGAGCCTCAGACAAATAACAGTATTCAATTGATTCTTATTTATTTATTTTTTAAATATTTGTTTTTTTGGTGTAGATGGACACAACGCAGTGCCCTTATTTTTATGTGGTGCTGAGGATCGAACCCGGGTCCCGCCCATGTTAGGCGAATACTCTACCGCTGAGCCACAATCCCAGCCCTTGATTCTTATTTTTAACGTTTTTTTTTTTT